TCAAGGTTAAATCAGTTTTGTGTATTTAGAACTTTTTCGTGATGGACGGTATTCTAAGTTGTGACGTCAGTCACGTTCCTGATATTCGTATTGCTGATATACTTTCGCGGAAATGGACACTCGATTTTAATTCAAGGTAGCAATTTTTTTCCTTTTTATTGTTAGATCTCGATCGACCGCTCCAACTCAGGTTTTGACATCCGATTTACACCCACCCGGTTATGTTGACCGCTCGTTTCCGGCGGGTGCAGTTCGCGATTCTGATCCACAGTTAGTAGTGCAGCGCAGCTGGAACATTGCTCTTGGCCCTTTGAGACAGGTTCCGATGAATCTCTTCATCATGTGGATCTCAGGAAACTCAATCTCGTTTTTCCCACTGATGTCTGTTATAATGTTGTTTCTCCGACCAATTCAAGCCCTGTTTTCTATTCAAACGAGTAAGTTGATTCCATAGTTGTTTCGGTTGTTCTATCCGTTTTTCAGTATCATGCATGCTTACTGCCTTACGCTAGTACGTATTATTGTAACCTCTCGAATGAACTGGATTAGTCCCGTAATTGACTCCCCAGGCACAGGTCAATTTTCCGCTTGAGGATCTTGTCGTCAAACTCACAAACTACGACAGCTGAATACGTTCCACAGCATAGTGACTTTCCTGGGGATGCCAATTACGGACTCGAGACTCGCCGGCTGCTGAATGGCGAGTCTTAGCGTCTCCGATTTTAAACAGCCCCTTACGCTGATAATAAATCATTTCCACTTTCTCAGAAATGGAACTAAGTTTGTTTGTTGACGGCGGCTATGGAAACCTGAATATAGGTATGACCAGACTTGAAAAGTGTGCTGTATACGGCTCACTATGGAGAATTGTGGCGGAGCGGTTTATTGGCGCTCACTAGAAGCACCGTATTAGAAGCAAAACAACTTAACAACGTGCGAAAACATGGTTAATAATGGGGAAGATGACGGACATGAGAAAGCAGGTACCAAAGAACTGATTGACCGAATTGTTGTCAACTGCCTTGATTGGCTGACTTAACCGATCAAACACGTAATTGGTTATCCCTGAGCAAAGTTGTTTTCTGTGAGCATGCCAACTCCCTGAAAATCAACTCTTGAGTTCTTGCCGTGCAAGTAACTTTTCTTATCTTTAACTCCGCATGAATTGATTCTAATTCTTTTTAATTTCACATGCGTCTGAATTCAGGCTGTGCCAAACGAATCATGGTACAATAATTTTATAAAAAGTGAAACGTTCCACTATTTACACTTGGGCCAGGTTGCCCAGGCCAAAACAGGTACCTTTTCTCGAGGCATTCACAATCG